AAATGCTGTAGACTGGCATTCAATGGATAGAATACCTGGAGAGAGTAAGAAACCTGTTTTGGTGGATTGCATAGCATCCAGCAAGACTCAGACTGGAAGAGAATAATCCCACTCCCATATCTTTCTTCAATTCAGATCTCAGTTAGAGTTATGGATAGGATAGGGTAGGATAGAAGATTGTCACTTTAAATGTGCACTAATCAGCATACATTAGAATGAAATTTCATTGCATTCAGCTCTCAAAAAAATACCATTATGCATATACCTATATACACATACATATGACACAGAGAAACATGTCTAGTTCGAATGTATACATGGCGAGAAAAAAAAATCCTGTGAATTTACAAGACAGATGGCATAAGGAACAAAGCTGTTACAAAATCTAGTTATGCTATAAATACTTTGAAACCTCCTCCCGGAGGGGAGCAACAGAATCAGACCATGAAGTGGGTGTGTGGAGTCTGGTCAGCCCTCTCATCCAAATAGTCCTCAATTTATGACCGTAATTAGGCCCACAACTTCGGTTATGAGTTGAGATGATCACAAAGCAAGTCATCATGTGAACGTGTGCAATTTTATAACCTTTTTTCCCCCAGTGATCACTAACATGGCGGTCATAAAGCAAATATGGCAGTTGTTAAGTGAACCCATTATTTACTATGGGGTGTGTTGTTTTTTTACTGGAAACAAGAAGTAAACACTGGTTTCTGGAAAAACAACATTGTAAATCAGTCATGTGAATGTGAGAATCTTGCAAAAGGTCCATAAATGTGGGTCTGTTGCTGAGCATCCAAAATGTGGTTACATGACCATGGGGGGGGGATGGTGGGCATCAGAACTTCAAATCATGTTGTACGTTCCTTTTTCGGGGTCTGTCATTACTGTTGCTAAGGGAGCAGTTGTAAGTCAAGGACTCGCTGACAAGGATGAGAGAGGTGTTATTGGCATTTTCAGAAAATAAAAATGATGTGAAGTTATAAATTAAATCAAAAGTAAACTAAATCAAAAGTACTTTTGATTTAATTTACAACTTCACATCATTTTTATGAGATGAGAGGACACTGTAAAAAAAGGGGTGAATGTGAAGCAACTTCATCTTTCCCTTCTTGTGGCAACCATTTTGTGAGAAAGATCTATGACCTACACTCAGCATTTTGGAGACGTCCAGTTTCAACCAAGATTTGGCTACCCTAGTCATAGTACATAATAAAACATTACTACTTCCTATCTCTGACAGAAAAAGGAGAAAGATCAGTATTTTCATTCCCACTCAGGCTCTTCCATCCTCTGCTTCTTTTAAGGAACAGAGAAGAGGATCATGTATAATTAAATAAATGAAAAATCAATTCTACATTATAAATAACAAAAATAGGGTCTTCAGCCTTTGCTATTAGTTTACATTTTCAAAAAATATTTTTTTTTGCTAAAATTGAGTATTTTTTCTAGTTGAATATGATTTTTTACTAAAATGACATGCCCTAGAACTTATCACTGCAGAAATACATGTTATTCCAATAGCAATGTTCATATGAACAGTCAATGCATTGTTGAATAAACAATTACAGAATGTTATACTATCTGAGTTAAGATACTATCTAAAGTCCCATATTTCCAATAAACTTTTGAGATAATCTAATTAGAAGCGAGTGGTACTCAGAATATATGGATGGAAATTGAACACTGAGGTTTCAGTCCATTAATTACTTATCCAATGTTCCATCAGGAAGATTTCCACATTTTTAAAATTTAGAATTATTATCTAAAAAGAAAGGTATAATTAATGATATTTTCAACTGAGCCTGACAGACTTGGACATTTTTCTTTTCCAAAGGTCACCCAAATGACTTAATCATGTGTTCTCAATGATGACAGTTCCCATTGTTTTATTCTTCAGCAAATTACGAGTGTGAAGTTACCAATGGATTTTCTACTGATGCTTTAACAAATTAGTATCTTGTAAAAACTATAAACTGAGTAGCAGTTACAAGACAGTGGCACAAAGGAGCATAAAAAAAATTGGACCTATTAACGAAGGCTGATTTACAGGTGACGTTCCAGTGATATGGAACATTCCAGCAGGACAACAGAACTTGTATATTTAAAAAAGCTTACCACCATCTGTCTAAATGAAGCTAAGTATCCTTGGAATTACAACTGGTCTTTTAAGCCTTTCCAGTGTCACATGACACTGAGGTATTATTTTGTGACAAACCCTGACATGCATTTAAAGCTTGACAGAACTGTTTCCCAAAATGGAAAGCTTGACAAACTAAAATTCACAGTGTCTTCTCAATACACAACTCCTTTGTACAATAGCCTGTCCAATTTGTATCGGCTAATTCAGATAAAGGCTTGCTTAGAAGGACCTGGCTCACTTAAGAAATTTTGTAATTGCTGGGTACACTTCTGATAAAACGGATGGCATAAATCATTTTAGGCAGGCAACAAATATACCTTTCTGCTAAGGAACGGTGGAGATTTATATGAAGAGTCCAACTAATAGCATCCTGAAAACTGGCTGGGCCAGTCACTTTCTCAACCCAACATATCTCACATGGTTGCTGTTATGGGGAGTATTAAGTATGTTCACCACCTTTTTGTAAAAATAATAAAGGTGGGATAGAAAAGTTTTATCAGCTATCTCTGCAGTTTGTTTAGAAACCCAAAAAGTCTGTACAAGCAGTTAAAATATTATTAACTTTGACCTGGATTTGGAATACAATAGCTTGTCGTTTACTTACCTTGTTGTTTTTTCCTTTCTCCAAATAAATGTTTATACAGTATATCTAAAATGTTGGGGGTTTTTTTATTCAAAAAGAAATACAAAAAGAAAGGCCTCTTCACAAGCAAGACTATGGTACATAATTATCACTTACATTCAAAGAATTTTCACATTTAAATTCTGGATTTGGAAAAAGAACATCCTGACCCAGAAGGGGAGGAGGAGAGGTAGTTTCATTTGCAACTGCTGGCCTGAAAACCAGGAGACTGTGAGTTCTAGTCCTACCTAGATATGAAAGCCAGCTGGGTGACTTTGGGCCGATCGTACTGAGCTCAGCTCACCTCTTAGGGTTGTTGTTGTGGGGAAAATAGGAGTGTTATGTTCACTGCCTCGAGTTACTTATAAAATAATAACAATATAAGTTCTAAGTTTATAGTTAAGGCAGTTGAGCTAAGAACCGATCGAAATGTCCTGTGAAGTTGATGTGTTTATCTGAACATTGATTCCTTGTATTTACCACATACGCCTTTTATTACTGTATTTTCTTTTTAACTATTTTGTCCTGAAATTCGATTCTGTACTGTAGATTTTTATATGGTCATAAGACTCAATCAATCAATTAATCAAGTAATAAAGCTGAGGTAAAACTCAAATAAATATTCATGCAAAGGGAGGGGCAAGTGATATGTTCAGAGATGATGTAATCATACAAGTACTATAATTTGGATGTGAGGGTGATCTGGCTGTGACGTCTGTCAACCCATTGATCGCCAGGGTTGATGGTGCTATAATTTACATACTTGCATCAGCCAGTCACTTACGATTTTGTCACTTGTAGATTTTAAACTTTCGATAACACTGTGGTTTGCTGCAGACACTGTTGGGGATATAAACATTTTAAGGTAATAGAGGTTGCTTCTACTGCACTAATATAAAATAAATATCAACATCTTTCATTAGGTTAATGTTTGTTGGAAGACAGTTTTCAGTTTCAAAGAACAAGCTCTCCAAGTCCAAATCTCTTGATATATTTGACTCCATAGCTGTGCAGCACTTTGGATTTGAAAGTAGAGAACCCCAGACTGGGTTGGGATGTTTGTGTAGCTCTTCCCCACAATGGCTTAGAGTATCTGTGTATTTTTCCAGGGTTCCATGGCTACTCTCCAAAGCCACAGTGAGACCCTGAAGAAAGACACTTAATAATATATGGAGTGGCTCTGCAGTGCAGCCTTGCATGCTCTAATAGCAATTAGCAAATTCAGTAGGCTACCAAATCCTATTTCACACACCAAAAGAAATGAACTCTGTTCTTATTCCTACTTGTGGTAATGCCCAGAGACAGCAAAGTAAATAACAGTGGGGCTGGAATACTCCTGAGAGAGCTACGAGGTAACCCCTCATCCACATCAAATGGTTGTCTTCCGGCATTATCTGTTTCTCATAAAATTAAGACACAACTTAATTACTAAGAACTGTTTTAGTAAAACCTTTAAACTGAGTTGCACAGTAAACATTTTTGCAGAAACAGTCAGAAAAAGGGATCAAGAAATTCTACTAGTAACTGAAGTAACTGCTCTTCGGCTTCTAAAATGATTTTATTAACACAAAAAATTACAATCTTCCTAAATAATAATACATTTGTTATTTGGGTTTAGCCACAGTAAGTTGATGAAGAATTTCTTCAAATAAACTGTAAATCTTTATTCAAGCAACTGATGTTATCATTTCCCTTCAAATACAAATCCCAAAATTTGTAAGAGGGGCCATCACATTTGTCAAAATATATCTGAATATACCAAAAGACAGATTTTTACATCTACAAAGGTGTAAAGAATACAAGTAAAGCAATTTTATTTTTTATGCTGCCCATCTCCCCTATAAGGCGACTCTGCAGTGCTCCTTGACTCTATAAAATAAGCCAACAAAAAGCACTAGGATTAACAATATGTCATAAATCATTCAGAAAACTAACTCAGAATTGCACCATCAGATTTGTTTGTGTGCTAAGAAACAGATCTACTATCTTGGAAATGGGGATGAATCATGACTCGCCATATCAAGGCATTTAACTGGGGTAGAAAATATGTGGTTTTCCAAATGTTGCTGGATTCCAATTTTTGGGAACTGCAGCTGGCATTGTCAATGACAAGGAATGTTAGGAATTATACCTCAACATCTAGAAAGCTACAGAGTCCTCAATCCTACAGTAAACAATTTTCATTGTCTGGAAATTTCTCCTACTCTTCTTCCTTGCTTTTACACCAAGTTCCTTTGTTTTACTAGCCTTTTAGGAGTGAACTTCTATATCCATAATAACAATTAAACAACACGCTGTTGGCAACTACATTGTTAACTGGCACACATGCAGTTAAGAGCCTGAATTCTTTTAGTTTTGCAACCTCAAACAGAAAAACAGCTTGGCATCAGTGCCTTTGCTGGCATTTCAATCTTTCTAAGAGTAGATAATGAATACTTGAGAGCCAATGGAAGGAACAGCTTTTGCCATGGCCTTCAATTTTCAGCATCTGCAATTAAATTAAAAACAAGCAGTTTTAGATCTCAAAATAGAAGCTATGACAATCCACACGTGAGAAGTGTCAGGCAAACCAGTTTGTTGGCCCCATAATAGCCATTACCTCAAAAAAACATTACCAATTCTTTACGGTTAGCATGCTTACAAAGATAGGCAGGACAAACAAAGCGTCTTAACCAGAATGAGGAGGAAACACAGAATGTGTCTTATCCACAGGCAATGGTCTAGAGTTAACAGGGTTTGTTTTTTTAAGCTATCCAAAAAGCTGGAAATTTGTTGAGACTTTTGCAATCCATTTGAACAAACCAAGTTCTGTCAAACCATTGTTTGACTTAACTCCAGGTTGATAAATGCATTCCTAGAAGAGTCTTTCTAAGCTACAGTTTGAAGCAATGGTTAAAGCACTCAAGAAAATTGTTTGGATGTAGCTCTTCCCTATTCTTTTCCCTATTTGGCCTAGTGTGGCACAGTAGTTCAGATATTGGAAGTCGAATAGAGAGCACCCAGCTCAAACCCATCCCTGCCAAAGGAAGCTCAATGGGTAACAATGTCTCTGACTAAGTTATTTATAAGGTTATTATTCTGGGAAAAATAGGAGAGGGTGTTATGCAAGCTCCTTTCAGCCCTTGAATGAAGGATAGGGTATAAATCAAATTAATGAATGCAGATTAATGTCTCAGACTAAGCTGCTCATAAGGTTATGTTCTGAGGAAAAATAGGAGGAGGGGGTCCTATGCATGCTCCTTTCAGTTCCTGGATGAAAGATGGGGTATAAATCAAATTAATGAATGCATAAATATTTATATTTGTCATGGAATAATTGTAATCTCAAGGCCCAGTCTTTTGGGAGGTAGGAAAGTTCCATACATTCTCTGCTAATTTCTCACCTACCACTCCCCGGTAGAATTAGAATTAAACATATGAAATAGAGGTAGGACAAAAACAAACCTGGAAATATAGTGAACATAAAGTGATTTACTGTATATATCTGCATTTAGCAAAATCACAATATTTGCTGAAAGATAAGCAAGAAAAGAAATATTTAGCTGGGAGTCCTTTACAATCAGATCTTATCTGTATCTGGCCATTTACAATTCTCAAATGTTATCCTTAAGTTGCAGTAGGATATTTGAAAAAAAAAATCAAGCTGAATGATATACTAAGGAATAACAATTATTTCTGCAATTATGTTATTTTCTGATAATATTTTTTCATCAATCTATTTTCCCTATTAGAAAATAACAAAGCTATTAATGGTTGATCCTAATGCTATTATGCATTACCTTTCAAAGCACTTTCATGATAGTTGCGCAATGTCTAACACAGAGGCATTGACCGCCTATTATTTTCTACATGTTTTGGACTTCAACTTCCATTAAACTCAGCTCCATTAAACTCAGCTAACGACAAAAAGATTTTGTGGTATCGGTCAAAACTTCTGGAGGGGAAGTTTGATCTAACGGAAGTCTTAAAAATAACTTACTAGAATGCAAAAAAAATTATTTGTACATTTGGTCTAGTGATCAAATAAAAGGCTTTGAACAGAACACTGGCCTTTCCATTAAATTCCTTATGCTGTGTGGTTGAAGCACTACTTACATAGTAGCATTAAAGATAGTCCTTGTTTAGCGATCATTTGAAGTTAGGACAACACCCCCCCCCAGGAACCTATGACCCAGTTGCAGAGATCTGATAGTGGTGTACACACCCCTGCGGCTGCATGACTACATTTTGGGTGTTTGGCAACCGGTTCACTGTTACAGCAGGTTGCAGTGTTCACAGTCACATTATGCAATTTGGAGCTATGATGGCATTGAAAAAAGTGTCCTATGATCCGTCCTTAAAGTTACAACCGTTGCACTATTCCCATAATCACATGATCACAATTTGGGTGCTTGGTAACCGGCTCGCGTTTATGACAGTCGCTGTCTGCTGTGGACAAGGTAGAGCGACGGTCATAACTCATCTTTTTTCAGTACCATTATACCTTCAAGCCATCATTAAATGAATGGTCATCAGTCCAGAACTATCTGTAATGAGATGAGAATAATCTATACGACAGGTACTTTTTCTTAAAAAAATGTAGAGCAAATCTGATATATAACTCCCCCCTATGCTTATCTTCTCCAGATAGTTCAATTAGACAAATTAATGAAAAAGAAGAGACATTTGGATTGCTCTTCTAAAACACTGGGCTTAATGGAGCATTTTAAAGTGAAGAGTGACTCTTAAGTTACTTTCAATGACACTCAAATGCTAATGTTGTTACTATTTCCTTAACTAGCTTATGCAAGCTAAGTCACTGTCCTGCATTCCGCTGTAAAAGCTCTAGCTTTACACAGCTAAAAGGGAAGCTGCCTTGCACCAATGAGACCAGTATATTCTGAAAAATTGAGAACTTTCAATAAAAGCACAAGAAAAAGATTGAGGGATTGAGTGAGACTTACTTCTTCCACATATTTCCCCAGCTCAATTCTTCCTTTAGGCCAGTGGTTCTCAACCTTTTTAATGCCGTGACCCCAACCGGTCGTAAGTCGAGGACTAAACCGGTCGTAAGTCGAGGACTACCCAACCGGTCGTAAGTCGAGGACTTTCCCTGCCCAGGAGCGCCACGCATGCATGGTTCTGCCCCCTGCGCCGGCCGAGGCGTAGCTGGCAAGCGGCAGAGACAGAGCAGGCCGACCACCAGCTGGCCCAGCTCAAGGGAGGTAAGGCACCCGCCGGAAAAGGGGAAAAAAATGGCGGACAGCCTTGCTTGGCGACCCCCGTGAAATGGTCGATCGACCCCAAATGGGGTCCCGACCCACAGGTTGAGAACCACTGCTTTAGGCTGAATAGCCTCCCCCACTTTTCTTTTAACTACTCAAGGACTGTCCTATGGAAAATCCTTACCAAGAACTCAATTATCTTTTTCTTCCTTCATTTCCTTCAGCACAGTGCCAATATGCATGTACCTACATGCCGAAGAAAATTATCTATTACTTTTCCCCAAACACATTTTCATATTTCATATATCCACTCTCATCTATAGTAAGCTGATTTATAAAGTAATTTTTGTGGCATACATCTGTACAACCAAATCTACTTTAGTTTTATATTGGCCTGACATCTGATCTCCTGAGAAATTGGAGGAACCTATTAAGCAATGGGCACATAATTCGCTTCTTCCAATGTTTAATGGCTGGAATCATTTGATTAATGGACATCACTGTCTAAAGCAGGGGTAGTCAACCTTGGCTCTTTTATGACTCGTGGACTTCAACTCCCAGAATTCCTGAGCCAGCATGGTTGACTACCCCTGGTCTAAAGCAAGATGGGTCCCTTTCTTTCAGAAAAGCAAAAATCCCAAGATAATCCTCCCATGTCTTCACCTATCCCAATGTTTAAATGGCAAATGTAAAAGGACACCTTTGCATTTATGCCACATATCTTTAATTTGTCAGGAGAGGAAACTAATTGCATTCCTATGAAGTAATCTTATTATTTATATTTAATTTCCAACCAATGATGTCCCAGAGAATATTTGTTGCAAGTTACTTTTGCGAATACAATCTCTGGCACACACACAAGGAGCAACCAAAGTTTTAATTGTTCCGAGGCCCAGTTTGCACGAACCTAGTCACACGCTATATAACCAGGAAAAAGAAGCACTGGAAGACCTTTGCGTTCTTCCTTATATCTGACTAAAACTTTAGAACTGGAAGAAACATTTTGTCACCTCAGGGATAGAACAGGAGGGAGAGAAAAAAAAAAGATCTTAGTACAGTCATTCCCCTTTGTTCACACCCAAGGAGAGACGAGAATAACGATGCAACATATTCCAGATTGTTGCAGCCTATGACGGCTGAACAGGGACAGGCTCTGCAAACCAAACCTAGTGCAGCTGCTCTCTTACCAAATTTAACAGGAATTAATCCTAAAAATCTTAACAGCTGTTAAGGTACTATTTATGCCCCTTCTTCTCTAGCACTTATATTCCAAAGCAGCTGTTTCAGAGAAGTTAGGGGTAAATAGCACCCTCTCTTGTCCAGTGAGACAACAGTAATGAAATAGAACTCTTCTCCCGTGACAGCCACATAAAGTTTGGATTCCACTCAGATGGCTTAAACAGATCACTGATGGGGTGGGGGGGGCAGCATATTGTGCAAACATACTAGTTAGTCTTAGGCAGAAAAGGCTTGTTAACCCCCCTCCCCTTTTTTTCTACCATTCGATCATGTCTGATTCTCAGATACTGCCTAGATGAGTCCCTGCAGTTTTCTTGGCAAGGTTTTTCGAAAGTGGCTTGCTGTTGCCTGCTTCCTAGGGCTGAGAGAGAGTGACTGGCCCAACATCATCCAGCAGGCTTCACGTCCAAGGTGGGACTAGAACTGCCAGTTTCCCAATTTCTCAGGATAGATCAGTAAGACTAGTAACTTGCCTTCTATTCCTGCATCAACTGGGACGAACTGAGCAGCATAGCAGTTTTAAAGTTTATTAATTATCTGCCTAGGGGAATTAATTCCCATAAACAGAAACCCTATTCATTTGAAAATCAATTTTATTTTTTTCACATTTCGGTGACTGATTTTCGTAATAAGCATTCAGTCTGAAGACAATTAAAATTAGCTTGTTCTTGTAAAATCGTATTTTTAAACATATCTTACATTTATTGACCTATATTCATATCAGTTACATATGCAGCTGGTCCATGTCTTAATTCTATGGTGCAATCCTTAATGCTTAGCAGAGACAGCTGCCTCTCCTCAAGGTGAACAGATAGTATATTACTGTACAGGTAATCCCCTAGTTATGAGCTTTCACTTAACACTTGTTCGAAGTTACGTGATGAGCACCTGAAGTTACGAATATTGCAGCACCACGGCAGTCGCTCGCCCTTATGAGCGACTTCAACATTCACCCTATTCCCCCCCACTCCTCACAACTGCTTCCCCCTCCCTTCCTACTGCGCCGGACTCACTTACCTTGCAAAAATCCTCCCTGCCGTGGTTTCTTTCCCTTTGAGGGAGAGGAGAGAGTCAGCTTGGAAATGCACTTCGCACCAAGAATGGAAGTTTCTGGAGTCCATGATCTCGCGCGAGTATTTGAAGTTGCGCCAAATCACAGACCTTAGCAAGTTTCATTCTCTGTACAAAAGGTGCCTGTCTCCTGCTCCCAACTCCTTTCTGCCTGACAGCAAAGCCTGAAGCCTTCAACTGAGGGAGAAGGCCAGGCCCCTCGCACCCACGTCCAGTCCGCCGGAGCTCACCGCGCTGGGGGAGAAAGTGACCCCGTTGTCCCCGGAGCCCTCCTCCAAGCGGCCCGGAACGGAGGCCGGGGGAGGCTTCTGCATGCCTCTGGAGGTTGGATCCAGCCCTCGGAGGACTGCTCCAAGCTGCCGCCGCCTGGAACACAACTTCCAAGGGCCTGATCCAAGCCTCGGAGGCGTTTTCCTAGTCGTTTGTGCCAGGAACTGAGGTTTTTGGGGGGGAGGGGCTTCTGCATGCCTCTGGAGCTTCGTTCTGGGCGGCAGCAGCTTGCTTGTTTTCTTGCAGATGTTTCATTACCCAGACTAGGTAGCACCATTGCTGCTAGTAAGGAATGCCATTTGCTGTCAGTTTATATTCTGGTGGCTTGCCCTGTCAGTGTTAATGGGGGTGGTCTTAGAGATTCTTTGGTTGTGCTGTTTACTGTTGGCTCTTTGGCAAATTTCTTGATTGGAGTATTGTTCACCTGATTGCTGGTCTGAAATTAATCTTGGAATTAATCTATGCTGATCTGGGTGCTGATTGCTGGTGAAGAGGTGCTTGGGTCTTTTTGCTCTCTTTTGGGCTGGGTGACAGTCTCTTTTGCATAGTCTATAGATGTTGTTAATGTCTATGTATCTATTGATGGCTGATTTGTCAGAGTGCCAGGCTTCTAGAAATTCTCTGACATTTTTGGACTTGGCCTGGTCACATTTTCCCAATTGAAACTATGGTCAAATCTGTCTATATGTTGTGAAATTAAAGAATTTTCATCATGTCTTGTGACTGCTAGTTGGTGTTCGTGGATGCCTTCTGCCAGTCTTCTGCTTGTTTGTTCTACACAGCATTATAGCAGTTATAAATAATGACTTTATATGCCCAGGCATATAAATATTTCCATCAGATGTTATCAATGAATAGTAAACTGTATTATTAACCTTAGGTTAAGTGCATACATAAATCTTCCCAGGTTCTTACCTATTTATCCATATTGGACATACTGCACTGAGGTTATGGGCTTTGTTTTTTTAAGAAAAACCACGAGATTTTAATATGAAACACTGTACTGCATGGGAGTGCTTTATGGTACACAATCCAAGGTTTACTATGCAGACAGCACCACTACTTACAGTTCTTCCACGGCAGAATGAAAGGCAAAGTTCTAGGAGCTCGCAGACCTGAAGCTAGATGGCTCCTATGTCGTATTATTGGGTTGGTTCTTGGACTGGGGAAAAGGAAAAAAAAAAGAAAAGTTCATGCTCCTGCTTTTGTTTAAATTTAACGGGGTTTTTTGTTTTACAGGAGGAAAAATAGTAATATATAGGTAGTCCTCACTTAACAAGCATTCATTCAGGGGCCATTTGAAGTTACAACAGTAGTGACTGAGTGGTAGTTGCACTCAGTCCTTGAAGTTATGCTTGTGCAGCACCTCATGATCATGTGATCAAAATTCAGGTTACCTGCATTGGACTCCCCACACCAGCCATCCGCCCCCACGTCTGCTCTTTGGGCTACCCTGGCCTCGGCCGCCGCTGCTGATCCTGGGCTCCTCTTGGCCAACCCTGCACCCTTCCCCTGAGCTGACCTTTGCTGTCTTCTTCCTCTCACTGCTGAGGAGGGGGGATGCCTAGCCCTTTGTGAGACAGGTGTTGGCCACGCCAGGCTTTCTTCCCAACAAGACATACAAACTTTCCTGCAAGGCTTTGGAAGATTTCAAAGCTTTGCAAGAACGCCATATGCAATTTGGCCAAGGGGCAATTGCATTCCACGAGGTGAGCAGAGACCAGGGCGAGAGAGACAATCAGGGTCCCTAGAGGTCGCAGAGTGTAGGGCAGCCCAAAAGGGCAGAAATGGGGCGGGGGGGGGGGAGAATGGCTTCGATTGGGGTGGGTTCTTGCCTAACAACCAGTGGGTTTCGATTAACGTCAGCAATAGAGAATGCCTGGATTGCCACTGATAAGTGAGGCGGTCATGTGGCACTGCACTTTACAGCAGTATCACTTAAGAGACAGAAATTCCAGTTCCAAATGCTGTCACGACTCAAGGACTACCTGTGCTGTTCATTATTCCACAATTTTTTAAAAAAATTCTTGTAGGTCAGGACTAATACCTCTGTATGATCTTCTGTAGGATAAACAGATTTGCCACTGACATCTGCTACAGTTCCACCCGGCATTTAATTGTGCTATTTCCAGTATTCTTTGTATAAGCAAACTGAACAATCTCTATTCACACACACACACACTTTATAATTAAGCTATTTTATAATTAAACTAAGATTGAGAAACGAGTAAACATGGTTACCAAATTAGTTCCTAACTAAGCCCTAAGACAGGATCTTTCAAATAATAGGTTATTACTAAATTCTTACATTGCAGTAGTTCTCTGACATTTCCATGGAGAAGCGATGTTATTTTTTGCTTTACTTGATTTGATTTGGGCTTTTATTTGCATAACAAAATAGAAACCAAGCATGGATATCTAGGCTGTAGCTGGCAACTGAAGTCTACTTGTTCATAGCTGCATTGGTTCATCATCAGCCTTTTTATCCTATATCTGTCTAATTTTCTGCCTATGGCTATGCAGTACAGGTAGTCCTCAACTTACGTTCACAATTGAGCCCAAAATTTCTGTTGTTAAATGACACATTTTGTTGTCCCGTTTTTACAACCTGTCTTGCTCCAGTTGTTTTAGGTGAATCACTGCAGTTGTTAAGTCAGTGGCACTGTTGTTAAACGAATCTGGCTTATTTATTTATTAAATTTATATACCGCCCTATCTCCCTTATGGGACTCAGGGCGGTGAACAGGCGATACTAAAAACCACGATAAATATACACAAGTTTCTGTTCTAAAATCAAATTAAATAACAGGCCTGCTCTAAAAACACCCCATACAAAACCCCCACTAAAACATAATCAAACTACGCCAGGCCGGCCGCACGGAATAGATGGGCCTTCAGGGCTCGGAGAAAAATGGCTTCCCCATTGACTTTGCTTGTCGGAAGGTTGCAAAAGGTGATCACATGACCCCGGGAGAGGGCAACTGTCATAAATACGAACCAGCTGCCAAATGTCCGAATTTTGATCACATGACCTCAGGGAGGCTACAATGGTTGTGTGGAAAAACAGTCATAAGTCACTTTTTTCAATGCTGTTGTAACGTTGAATGGTCACTAAACGAACTGTTTTAAGTTGAGGATCACTTGCATTAGCTATGCTATGATACATGGAATGTCGTATCAACCCAACTCATGAGGCTGTTCATTGGAAAGGCCCTCTTTAATTTGGTTAACTAATGCAAATTTATTCTAGCCCACATCTCCGGAGTAAAGCTGGAAGGCAGCTACATACACTCATACTTTTGATTTTACCTTAGGGCAATTAGTAAATTTCAATTAGCGACACCCTTCTAGCCGAGTCATTAAAGGTGGATCTTGATTGTAAGCATTACATTATTATAGTTTTCAGGGCTAATGGTCTAAAACTGGATTTGCCTATCTGGCAGTTTTGTCTATCAACAGTAAATTCTACTCAAGAACTGGGAAACTCAATGACAAGGATATATGTAATTCATATAACCCAGGGGTGTCAAACTGCCGGCCCATGGGCCGAATGCATCATAGCAAAACCGTGCCCACCCCATTGCTGGCAATGGCAAAAAAAAGTCAAGATACATCGCAACACATCACGTGACGTTGCGAGTTTGACACCCCTGATATAAAAGGTCAGTGATGGAAGCTTTAAACTTCTCTGAGTTCCATCACAAGGAATCAGGTTGAAAAAGCAGTCACAGCAGGCAGTATAATCCTTGAGCGCAACAGGCAATAGGAGTAGAATCTTTCCTGTCTGCTGCCTTATATAGGTGACTGCTTGAGACAATTGGTTAATGTTGATATCACCTGGTTCTAGCGCAGGTCTGCTGGAGCAAGGTGCTGACAATTTGTTCAGTAGGCAACAGCATAATAAGATCAATCACTATGATTTGTATATCAAAACTTGCAGAAAGCAAGCCTCCCTTGTAAAGGGAGTAAGGAGTCATTGAAATTAATCTCACATGGTCTTCCTCCAAATCCAGCAGGTATCAAGCTAAAAAAACTCAATTACTATGGTTTATTAGAAAAAAAAAAATAGGTTGTAGCACAAAACCCTGAGTGACTAATTTCAAATGAAACCTCTTTATATATATTCTATCTAGATCAGGTATGTGAAACTCGCAACATCACGTGATGTCAGGCGACGTATCGTGACTTTTTCCCCATTGCCAGCAATGGGGTGGGCCCGGTTTCTTCATGATGCATCCAGCCCACAGGCTGGCAGTTTGACATGCCGGATCTAGATAATGCTTTTTGGTGGTTTTGCAATGCAATAGGCTTAGAACAGTGGTTCTCAACCTTTTTAATGCCGCGATCCCCAACCGGTCGTAAGTCGAGGACTAAACCAGTCGTAAGTCGAGGACTACCCAACCGGTCGTAAGTCGAGGACTTTCCCTGCCCGGGAGTGCCGCGCATGCGTGGTTCCACCCCCTGCGCCGGCCGAGACGTAGCTGGCAAGTGGCAGAGACGGAGCAGGCCGACCACCAGCTGGCCCAGCCCAAGGGAGGTAAGGCACCTGCCAGAAAAGGGGGAAAAAAATGGCGGACAGCCTTGCTTGGCAACCCCCGTGAAATGGTCGATCGACCCCAAATGGGGTCGCGACCCATAGGTTGAGAACAGCTGGCTTAGAAGGTTGGGAAGAAATGGCAAACTGCCACTGTTATAATTTTGATAATTGCTAATCCCCTTATCAGCTTGGGAAGTAGTTTTCACATCTCAATTATGACAAATTTAATATTAGGTGGAATTTAAAAAAAATCACAGGTGCAGCAGCAAATATTCTTCAGTGTTATTACGAAGGGGTAGCAGGAAGAAGAAATGCAGTTGGTTAATGCTGGGGGAGCTAAAATCCTTGCTGGTTTTGCTTTCTTCGCAATCCTTTGCTCTCCCCAATGCCGGCAATGCTAGCTTTACGTCCAGTCGTAAGTGTGAACAGATTGCAAAGTGCCCAGATCATAATCACACAACCGTGGTGTGCATGTGTGATTATTTTGCACTGGTTGGAAGTGTTTTATACTTTCTGAGGCCGTTAATTCAAACTGTCAGTAAGCAAATGGTCATAAGTTGAGGACTCTCTCTAACAATACCCCAAAGAACAAAGAAATATATATTTTTAAATGTCAGCAATAAGCCACAATGTGTCTAATTTATAACAAAACTTAAAATTCCTAAAAAAAACCCCAATTTCTCCATTTAGAGCAAAAATAGGAATGCACAGGAGTTGGGAGAAATGATCTTCAGTTTAAGAATAGAAAGGAAACACAACTTACCTGTTCATTGCAGAGCAGCTTGTACCCCAAACGAAGGTAGATTCTGATTGGTTTGCTATATCTATTATGGCACAAAAATATCAGTTTTTACTTAAGGAAAAGAAAATAAATTCTGTTACTTATTAAGAATAAAACTAATCTATGATTTGGTGTCAAAGGAAGCAATGCAGAAATATAATTAATTTACACGAGAATGCATAACCTTAGGTTGTAAAATGTTCCAATTTCTGCTTGGCACAAGGATAATAACAGCACAGGATAGAAAATAATGGAAGAACAGCTGTTTGATAGGAGTGCCTTTTCGTATTAAGCGTCATTCAAAAAAGAGAAAGGGAAAACTCAAAAACTTGCAGTATTCTAATAAAGTATCAACAACGCAATTCTCACCTTTGTCCCAGTCTTCTTCACATGGAGGAGACTGCCATGAACTTATCACATTCACTTTTCTTTTATTCTCTGCTTGACTTGCTGTAACAAAAAAGACTCATTCTGAGAAAAAAATGCTTCTAAGATGACCCAAATTGGAACTACATTTGGCTACACTGTACTGACCCATCTTAAGGGATAGCCTACAAAGGGCTTCAGTTTGTAGAAATGATGGGGCTTAATGGCTGTTAGATTTGGTAGCAATAGAACGGCTTCTGAAGGCCATTCTTTAAAAATATTGCAAGAAAAAAAAATCCCCTTGACCATTCCTTCCATTGGTCGAGTCATAATAGCATTAAGTAGGGTCTACATCTTCTATAACAGGGGTGTCAAACTGCCAGTCCACGGGCCAGATGCGTCACGCGGAAGCATGATCCCAGCTCCGGCAAGGGGGAAAAAGTCACGATACGTCGCAACACATCACGTGATGCGGCGAGTTTGACACCCCTGTTCTATAACATCTATCTGGAGGCCCTAGAAAATGAAGGAGCAGGAATTTATTTCAGGTCCCCATTGCTTCCCACACACGAGCACTTAAGAGTATGGAACTAAAACACTGTTTTCTTTCAGACTCCAAACTAAATCTCTGAAATACTAAGTTCAAAACTAGCTCCCCTCCAACTGCAAATATAATGCTAGTTCTCCTTATTTCTCTTATCCCAATTTACTTTTTTACTTACAATCAGGTGTCAAGCTGCAATAACATATATTATTTTCCAGAATAAGCCCGTTCTCCTGCTTTAATTCTAGATGTAAATTACATTATAGCCAATATAGTTCAAGTTAAAATTGTGGGATGAGTGTTTCAGATCCAGATCAGGGGGCTCCTCTGCCAATCTTAACTGCAACTAATGTTGGTACCAATCCACCTTTTGACAACAATTCAGTCAATGTGATGATATTCTGTTAAATACAGGCTTCAATCTGATACTCAGTTACTATGAAGCACTGCTGCACTGGCTCTAGTGACTCCCAAGTTTACAGTACATGGGTTAACAAGGGATAAGTATTCAGGTTTATGCCAAATGATATTCATGCTGTTTTGATTCTTTCACACTTATTTATCCTGGCACATTTATACATGCATTACAGAAGAGGTCTTAAATATCTAGTGAGGTTTTGATTTCCAAAATACTTCAATGAATGACGTGGTTAAAACTTTGCTATTTTTTTTCAATCCAAACAGTTAATTGAGAGAATGCTTTCTCCTTGCAGTATCAGCCCAACCTACAGATAGGAAAAGTTACCCAGGTACCTATAGAAAGGTCTATTCCAGTGATGGCGAACTTTTTAGAGACCAAGTGCCCAAACCGCACCCAAAATCCACTTATTTATCGCAAAGTGCCAGGGGCCCATTAGCATTGTGGTGCCCTCGGGGGGGGGGCACGCAAAAACCAGGGGCGCAAAAATGGGCCACCGTGGTGCAAGGCACAAAAACGGCCACCGCTGCACCACAAGGCGCTGCACCAAGAATGGGGCAGGGCTAGTGAGTATCATGCAGGTACTAGCCCCGCCTCATTTGCAGCGCGTGCATACTCGCGGCCCCGTGCGTGCACACGCACATGTAAAATACTTCCCCCTCCCTTTTCTTCCAGTCCGCCAATCGACAATGGTTGGTGACCTCTGCTCTACCACCTCTACTCGAGCTTGCTAGTCGGCCGTTTCACCTCCTTTGTGCTGGGCAGGGCTCCTGCTCCGGGCGGTGGTGGAGGCCTGATGGTCTTGTTGCTGGCGGCAGCACGCATGCCAACAGAGAGGGCTCTGAGTGCTGCCTCTGGCACGCGTGCCATAGGTTCGTCACCACTAGTCTATTCTGTCCAGACTCAATACGCTCCATGCAGTCTTGATTACCACACTACAGAAAGAGAAAGGGCTAGGAACTCAAGAATGCCTCTTCTCAGTAGATGCCCAGCTTTTTGGAAAATGGTATTTCCTAAGATAAGAAATGCCTCACACTTCGTGGTTTTAAGAAGTCCTTAAAAATATTTTATACTATGGGTCATTTGGGTGCTGGTGGTACTTGTCTGTCTTTAAGTTTTCTGATTATTTCTAATCACTTTTTATGTATAGCACTGTAAATCATCTGGAGTTATTTAAGCAATGGACCGTCTATAAATGATTACATCAATCAATAAACCTCCAAGTATAAACGCTCTGTTATGTATGTTTGTGGACTAAGAACATAATGACATTCACTTGTTTCATAAAAGGGCAAGTAACACATAGCTTTTGTCTCTGCTTGCTTCACTCCACTGAACAGGAGATGTCAGTGATTATTATTTTCAAAACCTAACCCGACTACCTTTTATTATTAGCACTCACAATTTATGTCACAATGTTTAACAATAAAAAGTCCTTGGTTTATGAAACTGAGGACTCAGAAGGACCTGGTAGGTCAAGAAAAAAATAGTTATTTTACCTATGCCATTCCAAATCACAATCAATAGCGAACCACACAGTCTATAATACCTGTAACAGATGCTGAAAGGCCTTTTGGAGGCAAAAGAAAGCTTATTCAACAAGCCATTTTTGAAAACCTAACAGCAAAGTCAGGGACTGTTATAGCTGTCAACAGTCAGTTCTTAGAAGATTTATTTTTACCGATGTCCTGCTCGATGCATCGTTTGTCATCACAGCTTGATATGTGTTGGCTGATCTGTTCCCTGGGCACCTGATGACGAGCATTAAATGGGCAAGTGACCAGCTGTTGCACAATCCCAGGATGGTTCTAGAAAGACAAGTACAGATAACAAAATCACAGCAGCCTTACTGACAGGGCACCTGGGCATTGTTTTAACAACTTGCATGCATTTTCATTCAAATCTTAACAAGCAGTGACATACAACTATGACACAAAGTAAGTTAGTTTACTTATTTCTCCATGAAACAACCATTTGGCATCAATAAGGTTTGCTATCATTTTCACGGATTTTTTTTTTTAAAATTCCTAGTTTGGTTTACAGCCGAACTTCTAACCATATCCAATTTTGCTTTAGTTTTCAAGATTTGCCTAATGTGGCCCAGTACAATTATTTAGTTGGGCTCTCTTAAATAGCTCTAGAGCAGGACACAGGGAAAAAAATATCTCAAAACCCACTTCCTGTTGGATTCTCCATACCATCACCACCACTAGCACAAGTGTGAATCCGTTCACATTCAGAAAATATTTCTGGTCATACAAATCATGATTTGAAACCAGGATTTCCTCTCCATATTTGCATACTAGTTCCATTACTCTCCTTGTATTTCTCTCTTTGATCTATTTAGGTGGCTTTTGATTGGCAGGACTCATGTATTCTTGAACTTTGGGGACTTTTCCCCATGCCGTAGTCCATTATTTTCCAAAGCCTTTTCATTATACTCCAGAACTACCACTGCCACAGCATCTCTATCAACTCTATCGAAGTCAATGCATAAATACAATCTAGTTATTTATAAGATTAAAGGTTGGGCTTTGTAATTTAGGAAGAGAAATGACTACATTTAATTTCAGGCTGTTATTTGCCCTTCCTTCTGAGCAGACATACATAGCCTAAGTATTTCAGCATTGATACGTATTGAGGATATCTGAAACATTGATTTCAACAAGACTTAAACTTTTGGATAAGCTTGCATAGAAAAAACTTATAGCTCTGTGATGGAAACATATTGATGGTGTTTTTCTTGAAATGAGGCAACCTGAGTTTCTATCCTTTCATTTTGAGAGCCATATTTTAAAAGAGAATTACATAACTGATTTATTTTGCAGGGAAGTGAAAGACAAGCCAGTTTGCCTCATTAGCACTGAATGAGTTGCTCTGATGAAGTAAACATGGAAAGGCATTATAATGCCAAATCTCAATTACATGAAAAAATTGAAGGCCAGATGCTCCAGGGAAAGGAACAGAAAAAGAAGCTGAATCCAGTTTGAAATGTTTTCTCCAGTTCAAAATATTCAGAAGCTAATGCATTTTATATTAGTTGAGGAAAGTAAATTTACTGGAAGAAGGCAAGAGTTTGCAGTTAAGGGACCTGTTTGTAAAGTATGATTAAAAATACACCTTCCTTGGAAACAGAATAAAGATTAAACATGTTAGGTTAACCGAGGATACTGTGACAATTCAAGGACTGACTGAGGACAAACTATTCAAATTCTGTCTTCTATTGTTGAGACTGGCAATGAGATAATAGGCAAACTATTCTGCTCAACTGATTACTGCTTGTTTGGGACTTAATTTCTGGAGATTATCAAGAAATGTGTTTAGCTAGAGTCTTCCAAACAAAACTCTCACTTGCAATGCAAATCTTTGCCAGGTAAAAACTTGGTGGGTTCAGTGCTGCTGATGGGTCATTTGTCTTGTTGGTACTTGCGGCCCATTTTATGAGGAAAACCCCCTCAGCCTTTTCACAAATGAATTTATAACAGTGTGCCATTGCACAGATCATGGGAAAAATATTTGATCATATTCTTGGGAAAGTGAAAACATATCCTCAGGAATCTAATTTATGTATAAATATCAATAGAAGTCAGGAACCAAAGAACCTCCAGTTTAAGAAATTATAAAAAAAATATCTCAAAGAAGAACAAAGACTTGGCTCATTATTGAGGAATATGCTGCCTAAGCTGAGGTGATATGTTGAAATGTTTAGATTCACTGAGAAGTTTGGAGTTTCTCCTGGCTGGAATAAAGCCAAAAAAGAAATTTACTGTTTTTAAAGTTTATATAAGAGCTGCTTCTCTAATTTCTACAGGTAAACAATATCATTGGTTCTAGGGTTTTTACATTATATCAATCTAACAATAAATGGTAGCTTATGTCATATTTGGGAAGAAGAATTAAGGTATTTCCAAATATATTCTGAAATAAAGCAAATTCTGCCTAGGCTGCTTGAGCTGATGTATGATTGTTTAGGTGCTATGTACTGGAATAACATCTGAATAATGTTACAATATTTTTCATACGAGCAGCTAAATTAAAAAAGGGCTGAATCAGCACCTTGCATAGGCAGATTTTTCTAAATGAAGATATACTATTTCACGTCCTTTCCTGATTTCTCACAACAGAAGCCTATGGCCTAATTACACTTGATCTTAGCCAAAAGGCCCAACTGAACCTATTTCTGAATTATGCCACTTAAGTATGCAGCTGCATGGGCTTTACATGATTGAAACATCGCCCATACAAAATAAAAAGCTCTAGTAGTGAATATACTTTTGCATAGAACATTCCTATCCTGATCTCTTTTCTGACTTAGTTTTCAGTCTGAAGACTATAAAATGAAAGTAATCAATTACAGAAGCCCCTCAATAAGAATCATGTTTACTTGGAGCAATTTTATATATCATCAAGAATTACTGATACTTTCCATGAACCTAGAGACTTCCCTTATTGAACTATAAAGGGGGCTATAATTATTGTAACTTATATATAAAAAAGGATTTAGTCTATAGAGACATATTACAATATTCGTATATTGTTAACTATATATGGACTCTTGGCAATTTATATAAATTCATCCAATTATAATACTGTAATACATTGATTAAAACATTTAGCTACGTTAAGAATGTTCTCTGGAACTGTTTTGTCTTTCTAAAAGCAAGTAGTAGGGATATCATCTGAAGTTCTAAGAGTTAAGCTGTTAAGTAGAGATCGTGCACAAAGTAAGAAACATTTTTTTCTAACCAGCTTTCCCCTAGATACTCGCTATCCCTGATGGGAAGCACTCACTGAATGGGACAACTCCTCTTGAATTAACTGGTCCTACAACTACCTAAGTGTCAAAGCATGTAGGACTCTGGCAACCTAAGCAGTGCCCACAATACCAGTGCTATATAATTCAGGAAGCTTTCATGTATTAGCAAACAGGTTGTACGAGGCAGATTCTGAACAGTTTTCAAAAGTTTTATTTATTTATTTATTTATTTATTATTTAAATTTATATACCGCCCTATCTCCCTTACGGGACTCAGGGCGGTGAACAGGCAAGAATAAAAACCACAGTAAATATTACATAAAAGCCTGCTCTAAAATATGAAACCCCTAACAAAACCCAATCAAAACTACGCCAGGCCGGCCGCATGGAACAGATGAGTTTTCAGGGCTCGGCGGAAGAGGCGCAGGTCCGCAATTGTATGTAGGTCGGGGGGCAGGTCATTCCAGAGGGCAGGAGCTGCCACAGAGAAGGCTCTCCCCCTGGGGGTCGCCAGCCGGCATTGGCTGGCCGACGGTACCCTAAGGAGGCCCTCTCTGTGGGAGCGGACTGGTCGAAGGGAGATATTTGATAGGAGACGGTCTTGCAAATACCTAGGTCCAGAGTGTATTGCAATAGTTCAGGCAAGTGTTTTCACTATTCTTTTATATTGTTATACTATTCTACCTATGTATTTATCTAGGTAACTGGAGACAATGGATTGAGTTAGTGTAACTACTTCCAACTCATCATTTTCTTGACAACCTTCCTAAAAAGGAAGATTGAAGACTGAGCAAAGCTCTGTCTAAACCTGTCGGCTCCAAGAAGCTAAACTATCATCTTTTGCACAGCAGCTGGCAACATCCCCTCTTCTAGCAAGCCACTGACTATTTCCCTGATTGAGTTACTCGGTGCACTACTTTCCTATTGTTGGTATATTACTTCTGTCTTAATTGCTGAAATGGCTTACTAATTCTCTAAAAACTGCTGGAAATGTAATGAACATGTCAGATCTTTTTCATTATTTGGTGATATTGTTGTAAAGTTCTGGAAAATGATTCACACTAAAATCGTAATTTACAAGACCAAAAATACAGTTTCAAATTTGGTACCACTCAGACCCAATGAAGATAGCCAGTTCTTTCTCTGTCATTTGGAAATACATACAGTGAGGGAAAGAAGTATTTGATCCCCTGCTGATTTCGTAGATTTGCCCACTGACAAAGAAATGATCAGTCTATAATTTTAACGGTAGGTTTATTTTAACAGTGAGATAGAATAGCAAAAAAATCCAGAAAAATGCATTTCAGAAATGTTATGAATTGATCTGCATTTTAATGAGTGAAATAAGTATTTGAGCCCTTCGCAAAACATGACTTAGTATTTGGTTGGCAATCACAGGTCAGACGTTTCTTGTAGTTGGCCACCATGTTTGCACACATCTCAGGAGGGATTTTGTCCCATTCCTCTTTGCAGATCCTCTCCAAGTCATTAAGGTTTCGAGGCTGACATTTGACAGCTCGAACCTTCAGCTCCCTCCACAGATTTTCTATGGGGTTACGGTCTGGAGACTGGCTAGGCCACTCCAGGACCTTAATGTGCTTCTTCTTGAGCCACTCCTTTGTTGTCTTGGCTGTGTGTTTTGGGTCATTGTCATGCTGGAATACCCATCCACGACCCATTTTCATTCCCTGGCTGAGGGAAGAAGCTTCTCGCCCAAGATTTGACAGTACATAGCCCCGTCCATTGTCCCTTTGATGTGGTGAAGTTGTCCTGTCCCCTTAGCAGAAAAACACCCCCAAAGCATAATTGTTTCCACCCCCATGTTTGACGGTGGGGATGGTGTTCTTGGGGTCAGACAGCATTCCTCCTCCTCCAAAAACGGCGAGTTAGCTGATGCCAAAGAACTTGATTTTGGTCTCATCTGACCACAACACTTTCACCCAGTTCTCCCTCTGAATCATTCAGATGTTCATTGGCAAACTTCAGATGGGCCTGTACATGTGCTTTCTTGAGCAGGGGGACCTTGCGGGCGCTGCAGGATTTCAGTCCTTCACGGCATAGTGTGTTACCAATTGTTTTCTTGGTGACTATGGTTCCAGCTGCCTTGAGATCATTGACAAGATCCTCCCGTGTAGTTCTGGGCTGATTCCTCATCGTTCTCATGATTATTGAAACTCCACAAAGTGAGATCTTGCATGGATCCCCAGCCTGAGGGAGACTGACAGTTATTTTGTGTTTCTTCCTTTTGCGAATAATTGCACCAACTGTTGTCACCTCCTCACTATCGCTTGGCGATAGTCTTGTAGCCCATTCCAGTCTTGTGTAAGTCTACAATCTTGTCCCTGACATCCTTGGACAGCTCTTTGGTCTTGGCCATGGTGGAGAGTTTGGAATCTGATTGACTGATTGCTTCTGTTGACAGGTGTCTTTTATACAGGTAACGAGCTGAGATTAGGAGCACTCCCTTTAAGAGAGTGCTCCTAATCTCCGCTCTTTACCTGTATAAAGGACACCCGGGAGCCAGAAATCTTGCTGATTGACAGGGGATCAAATACTTATTTCACTCATTAAAATACAAATCAATTTATAACTTTTTTGAAATGCATTTTTCTGGATTTTTTTATTGTTATTCTGTCTCTCACTGTTAAAATAAATCTACCATTAAAATGATAGACTGATCATTTCTTTGTCAGTGGGCAAACGTACAAAATCAGCAGGGGATCAAATATTTTTTCCAGTCACTGTAGAAAAAAAGAACACTGGGCCCACATTTTGAAATGGAGGGAATGGAATGAAGGAAATTAAGAGTGATTAAAACATACCCTGAAGAAATTGGGAAAAGCAGTAATACCGACTTGTCCAAAAAAAGAAGTAAATGTATCATCTGGGAAATAAGCAGGTAGGCAATTATTCTACATACTCTGCATCATCAACTACATTTAAACAAAGGATTTCCACAGCTTACCTTTCGACACTTGACAAGGTGGTAGGGAAACCTGCAAGCCCTGATTTGATGGCTTTTGTCATAGGGGCACTGAATTAGTTTTTCAGGATCCAAAGCATCTATTAGAAAAGAACATGAAGGTCTAATGAGTATCCCAAAACTACTCTTTTAAGTGCAATGCAAAAACACACCAACACATTGGAATTAATCAGATAAGTAAGAAAAGCTATCAGTTCTTAGTATTCCATAACCACAGAATTACTTCAAGTTTGCTGGCTAATTAAATTCACTCAGGTTTAGGCGATTAGGGTGCTAAACAAAGAAATGCAGTCAGGAGTGCAAAACAATGCGGCAGATGTTAATGAGCACATTTATGAAATGAAGAGAAAGCTGCAGAAAATCTGTATCCCCGAAGCTACTCAATTAGACAGTCCAATTAAAAGAGTTATTCAAGAAATTTGAAGAGGTGTACTCACGGTCCCCACTGGCCTTCTAAGATAAGTGGCTCTTATCTGAGCTAAGAGGGGACATCATTGTGTTAGGCTACATCTTTGGCAAAATCCTGTGTTTTCAATTCAGAGACAACCACAACACACTGCTACAGGAAAAATCTGAGGGGAATATCATTAAAATCTCAAATGAAGTATATAAAAACTGAATCTTTGCTAGCATTATTTTGTTCTTTGTTCTCTTTTCTTTTCTTCAATATGAGTATTTCCAATAAGATGCTATGTGAAAAAAAATGTCTTCCATCAGTGTAAACGATTACATTTAACAAAATAGCATATGTGAGATGTTCTTGGATTGTACAACGAAAGTATAATTCAGTATATTTCTGCTCCATTTGGAAACAATTCAACAGATCATCATCCCAAGGGTAGCAAAATCATGTCTACTTGACAAGTTTTTAAGAGATGTGATCTACAGCTGAAAGAATTGGATACTTTCAAAGAAAGGAATCCAATTCCTATTATATCATGCCTATTACCAGTAAACTAACTAAAGCAGCCTAGTAATTCTTCCAGCAACTGACTTACCCCATCCACTGGAAATGCACATTTTTCAATGTCTTGGTAAAATTGAAAATTAACATTTTCCAAGTCCTCCTATTTGCCACAAAGGAGGTTATCACTTGGTTTTCTTCCCTCAGCAAGGAAAAAAGGTCTAAAAACCTGCAGTGCCTTGATTAAGGTTGGGATTTGATCTTTTTCTTCCAAACTTCCAGATGGCCACTATGGGCATAGAGGGGAAGAGAGTACCTACAAGAAGCCCTGTCTTAAGCCCTCATGTGTTTCAAATGCTGGCTGGGAAGGATGAACCTTTATTAACTCTGTTAACCCTAACCCTCTCGCTTACTGACTGGGTTACTGAGTTCACATAGCACATTGGATTGTCCTCATATAATGAAATCTGTTGTAGAAAGAAGGCCTGAATATGAGGCCTTCTTTCTGGGGTTGGATTATGGGAGGGGATTATAGCTCACAGCATGTTTAAGCAGATCGGATACAACTGAGCTCCAGCACTTCCCCCAGTGTGAAGTTCACAAGTGGAACTAACAAAAGTTACAATTTCACTGGACTTTTGACTGCTTAGGATACCTTAGAAATATGGAAAGCAGATTTTCTTTTAAGCTTTAAGTTGGACAGGATGTTAGAATCATTAAGAGGTAGTCCTCAACTTACAACCATAACGGAGCCCAAAATTTTCATTGCTAAGATGGTTGTTAAACGAGTTGCACCCGATTTTACGACTTTTGCCAGTTGTTAAGCGAAACATGCAATTGTTAACCGAATCTGGTTTCCCCATTGACTTTGCTTGTCAGAAGCCAATGACCCTGGGACAATGCAACTGTCATAAATACATGCCAGATGCCAAGGTGGCCATAGGGACGCTGTAACCATCGTAAGTATGAAAAACAGTCATAAGTTACTTTTTTTAGTGCCATTATAACTTCATAAGGTCACTAAAGAAATGGTTGTAAGTCGAGGACTACCTGTGCGGTAACTGCAGACGTGCTTGATGGGACTCAGTAGCTCTGTGACCTACAGAGATGATCCCAGACTGCTCAACCAGGTCAAAGCTGGGAGATTCCTGTACTGTACTGTATTGTACTTCTGAAAAGCTGTTAACACTACAGAGGTGCAATGCAATAAAGATGAGCAGTAATACTAGTAGATTTGTGCACTCTAGCCCTATTCTCAATCAATGATAATGGAACAGGGAATTGTGCTTGGTGTTCTGCTGCATTTTAGAACTGCACAAGGTCAGGGATAAAACATTTCCCCCCCTTGTTCTTTTCTAGTAGGAAACACAGAACTCTGCTCAACACAAACAACTGACTATGAAGACCAACCACAATGTGTGAGCCTTTATGTCACCAAATTTTAGTCACTTTGATTCCCCCTCCCCTGGAATATGTAACATTATTTCCTGTAGGCTGCCTGGAGTGGCCGTGAGCAAGTAGGTGGCAATACAAATTTTCCTAAATAAATAAATAACATGGGTTCCCCCCTCCCCCTTAATCTCCAGGTTGCTCAGGAGGTGATTATCAAGACCCCCAGGTGGTAATTAAGATCAAGGAGTAACAAACACATGGTACATATAGTTACATTTAGCTGCTATTTTTATTAATCTAAATTTATCTTACCATAGCTGTCTTCTGTATTCATGGTTTGGTAGTCTGATAGAAGCCTGCTGGAAACTACGGTAACTCTGCCGTTGGGATTCACAGTCTTCTAAATAGTAGAAACCAGATGTAATGAAAATTATTTCAGTTAATACCTTTTATGGTTCATGCAGCTGTTACACATATAATAGTTGTCAGAAAAGCTGGGTGGGAGACAATGACATAAGAGAATTTGTGAGAAACTTCAAATAATCCAGCAAATGCTAACTATTACACATACCTTTTATACTTTCTAAATGGGCAACTGAACTGCTGAAAACCATGAAAAGGTTTCTGCTATGTAAACTCTAAGAACAAATTTCCTCCTCTACAATCCTTTGCTGCTTTGAAAAAAATGATTGAATAAAGATTACGAACAGACACACGTTCCCTAGTTTTGTAAATTCATTATCATTCACTTTATGTAGACTATATTATCCTTGAAAACTGAAGACTACTATTAGCATTAAAATCTGGCACACTGGTACTTATGGGCCATAACTCAACTCTTCATTAAATATCCTTAATTCTTACACATAAAATGGTTCAATTTGTGGAAAAGTGCCAAACCCTGTAAGATTTTTGTATTCCCAATTTAAGCCTCGAGAGTGTTATGGTAAGAATGCCCAAAAACTGTGAGATTTGCAGATCACTTAAGAATTCAACCATTACACAATAAACACAGACTACAAACATTGACAAGATAAAGCAGCAACAATGGTGCACTGGAATATCTGCAGAAAATACCATTTGCCTGCAAGCAATAAGTTTGTGGTGGCACCACAAAATACAAAAAAATCAAGAAGCTAAAGTGCTCAGGATTTTAGAATTCAAACAGACAAGCACCGTCTACATAACACCCCAGACTTAACAACTGTCGGTAAGAAAAATAAGTCTGGACAGTAGTAGTATTTGGAGACATAGAATAATAGAGAAAGGAGAAAAATACAAAGACCTGCAAATAAAAGTAGAACAACTGTGGCAAAGGAAAAGATAGTACCATTAATGATAGGTGCCTTGGGTTCAATCCCAAAATCATCTGTGGCACTACTTGAACATCATCAGCATTGACAAAAGTCAATTGCAAAAGGCAGCTTCTTGGAACAGCTTTCATCATGTGATGATACCTGTAACACCATCAAACAACATCTATCCCAGATCTTTGGGAAGGACTTGATAGGTGGATAAAAATGCCAAAACCAGTCTAAACATATGGCTGACTGTGCAATGAACCATAATAATAAAGAGGTATGTATACACCAGGTTAAAGAATAAGGCAGTATTGTCCCCTAGTGTGCAGTGGTCCCTTAAATACTTCTTGGTGCTATTCTGGATTTCAACAGGATTTTGAAATAACCTATACTGGAATATTACAAATTACATCCATAAGTACTATTTGGGTAGCACAACAATTTGGATAAAAGAAAATGATCTCTGGATTGAGAACATCAACAAAGTCGGAAGAGTACAAGGCTCAAGCTTGAAATAAGTAATTTCTTTAGTTATCATTGTTACTGTTATTTCATGTAAATACAAAAAATAAGGCACAAAAAAGATCACTCAGAGTTTTCAAAAGAACTCACAAGACTTTTAATTTTGTTTCAATTTCTACCTCCCTGTTTTCAGCACAACCAGAATGAGTTCTACTGTATGCAAAAAGGAAAGCACTAAGCTGAGAAGTCAATAGACAGGTGATGCAGAAAATTTGTCTCTCACTTCTCAATACATTCCAATAGAGTCCTTTTACTTCAAGGATGGGTACAGTGAGCGCTTTAAAATACAGCTACAACAGCAATTGACTAGTGGCTTCTTTCTGGTGTATGCTCTACTGACAGAGCTTGTGGTTGACTTCACGTTCCCATGACATTCTGGACTGGAGCCCAATTTGCACCTTGTAGTATACATTATTAAAATTTGGTTACCATACTTTCTCATATTTACACACTATGTTTCTCCTAGGAGCTATGCTTCAGTATTTGCTAATTCAATGTTCACCGCAACTTTAGAGAATTTCTGTGAACAACAAAGAATGGGCTCTCTTAATCGATCCCTTTCATAGAACAGTCATGTGAAAAACATGTATGTCCATTTTGGGTTTGTTTTTTATTTATTTTTTATTTATTCAACAAAAAAAACTAAAAGATATGCAATTCTGTTCTGTGGGAAAAGCAAGCAGTTTGAGAGGTTTCTTGCATGCACAGCCCATTTTAAATCACCCCACAACATCTTGATGGGATTTAGATCTGAGCTTTGTTTTGGCCATTCCAAAAGCCCCTTTTTTCCAATCATCCCTTAATGGGTTTACTCAAAAGTTTAGGGTCATTGTCACGTTGCAAGGTCCACTTTCAGCTGAGCTTCAATTTCCTGATAGATGGTCAAGCACCATCTCAAGCACCCTCCGGTACAATGAAGAATTCAAAGTGGATTCTATGATAGTGAGCTGCCCAGGCTCCGATGTAGCAAACCGAACCCAAACCATAATATTTCCACTACCATGCTTTACAAGTGGCATCAGATTCTTCAGGTGAAATGAAGTCTTTGACGTTCATCAAAAATGTCTTCATACTGTGACAGAAGAATTCTGTCTTTGCCTCAACTATCCAGAGCATATTGTTGAAGAAACCCTGGTCTCTGTCTTGCCCTGTTCTTCCTGGAGGGCAAATACTTCCTTCTGGCACCCACCCCATGTAGAATTATTCTAATAGACAAATGCCCTTTGACATCAATGATGGCAAGAACCATCTGTAGATCATGTGATAAAAGTCGATGAGTCTAAGAGACTTTCAGCATTTTGCATCCTAATATGGGACTGAACTTGCTGGGACAGCCTGACATGAGCAAGTTGGCAGTTGTCTGAAGTCTTCTGCATTTGTGGATGATCTTCCAGACAGTGAAATGATTTATGCCCAATTGTTTGGTGATCTTTTATAATCCCTTTCTAGGCTAATAGGCATCTATAATGGGACATGATAGCAGTATTCCAATATCTCAGGGGCTGCCACAAAGAAGAGGGAGTCAAGCTATTCTCCAAAGAGCCTGAAGGCAGGACAAGAAGCAACGGGTGGAAACTAATCAAGGAGAGAAGCAACCTAGAACTAAGGAGAAACTTCCTGACAGTTAGAACAATTAACCAATGGAACAACATGCCTCCAGAAGCGGTGAATGCTCCAACACTGGAAGTTTTTAAGAAGAGACTGGACAGCCATTTGTCTGAAATGGTATAGGGTTTCCTGCTTGAGCAGGGGCTTGGACTAGATGACCTCCAAGGTCCCTTCCGACTTTACTACTACTACTACTACTACTACTACTACTACTACTACTACTACTACTACTACTACTACTACTATTATTATTATTATTATTATTATAACCTTCTTTCCGAATGCCTCAGGGAATTCTTTTGATCTAGGCAGGGTGATTCCACACACACTTCAACAATGAAGAGTAAATGCTTAAGGCACTAGGCTAGAAATTAGGAGTTCAAGTTCTGCCTTAGCCATGAAAGCCACCTGGGTGACCTTGGGCCAGTCACTCTCTCTCAGCCCAACTCAGCTCACAGGGTGCTTGTTGTGGGGAAAATAGGAGGAGGAAGGTGTGTTGGATATGTTTGCCATTTTGAGTTATTTATAAAAATAATAAAGGAGGTAGAAAATAAGTAAAATGTCTGAGGTTTAAATAAGACAAGTCTCACCCACATCCTAATTATGTTCTAATCATTTACAGCTGATCTGATGCACTTGATTCTAATTTTAGGTACTTGAGGTAATGATAAATGTAGGAATGTACTTGTTTTTTCACATGTAAAATTTGCATTTAAAGTTACACAACAGACTATCAAATGCAAATAGTGCATATTTATTATAGTCTATCTCCTTTATCAATATTGTTGAAATGAAGATGACATTTCTGTATGTTGAAAAAAGCTGAAACAGTCAACAATTTCAATAGGGTGAACTTACTTATTCATATGACTGGGCAGATTGAATGGAGATGAGCAGGGGAATACATTTTCACCTTCCAGAAACAAAATGTCAATCACATATTTCCCTAAAGTTTCTTAGTTTTACATAAATATAGGCAAAAATATTTTTCCAGGTCTTGCTATTATTCAAAAGATATAAAATACAGTACTTGATGAAAAATTACCATTTCAGTCTAAACTGGCAACCTGAGTCTATTTAATTAAAAAAATCTAAAACTTTAAAGATAGCACTATTCATATGTCCCTGCTCCTTATTTAAATATTTTAGCATTTATAAAAGTATAATCTTATTAATCTTTATAAAAAATTACATCAGTAATAATCCTTTAGAGCAACGCCTGTATGACAGCTTGTCCTAAGAGCATTTGAAACAATTACAGAATATCTGCTATACTTATCATCAAAGTCCAATAAAATGAGAGTAACTTGCTTTCCAAATGATAATATGGATCATATAGGTATAACATTTTCTGGATAAAAATGGGAAAGATGTCTACAGTTCTTAAAATAACCTTGCTGGTGAGCCAAAAGCTAAATTATAAAGCCACTTGAGCAGAGGTATTATCTGACAAATAATCTAAACAACATTGCAGTGATTACACCAGCTCAGAGGACTGAATTCGGAGAAAGAACACCAGAAAATTTACTACCAGAATAGGTCTTTAGATAAGAATCAGATTTAACTACAGTCCTCAACTTATGACAATTCAGTCCAAAATTTGTTAAATGAGATATTTAAGTGAATTTTGCCCCATTTTACGACCTTTCTTGCCTTAGTTCTTAAGTGAATCACTGCAGTTGATAAGTTAGTAACCCGATTGTTAAGTGAATCAGGCTTCCCCATTGTCTTTGCTTGTCAGAAGGTCACAAAAGGGGAACATATGACTTTGGGACACAGCAAATGGTCATAAATATGAACCAGTTGCCAAGCATCTGAATTTTGACCACAGGACCATTGTTGTAAGCCGAGGACTACCTGTACTTTGAATTCATACAAGCAGTAGAGGAAAAAGATGGAAGATAGGAAGAAGAAAATCAGAAAATCGAATCGACACACATAGGGCAGATGTTAAGTATGGTGCAAGTCTGCATGGTTTCCATGTTAAAATTTGAGAGCTGGGGAGAAAAGGGGGA